TTCATATTGAGCTACCACCACACGTCATCTTGCAGTTCGTATGAAGTAAAGAATTGATTCTTATCTTGACTATAGTTATTTCAAACATTAAAATTTCTATAAAGGCTTCAGAACTTTCTGAATAATTTATTTTTATTTTTGCAAATCACGTTGACATTTGACATTGACAAATTTAAAATTTGTAATACGTTATTAAGAGAAAAAAGAATTATAGAAAACTCTACATTTGCTATCGCAAAATGTTTCTTTGTTACTAGATATTAATTTGTGAATTGTTTTTATGATGTCTAAGATAATGACAGATTTCCTTCAATTGCAATATTTCACTGCAAAACAAATCTACTGATTCATGCCTTATAAACGAACTGTCACTGATGTATGGTTTCTCATATATTGTATTTGTGTACATGGGATACAAGGTCTGACAAAAAATTCGTAAAATCACCGCGATTAAATTGCTAATTAGTTATTATTTCTCCGATATCCTGCTTGACATTAGAGGATATTACATGCTTGACTTTAGAGGAAATTGTTCTATCTGCATTTGAATAGGCTAGCAACTGTGGCGTGTGCTGCGATAGTACAGTGTTCCTTCGAACGACACGATTTCGATTTTATGCGGTTTTTTTTCGATTCTATCAATAATTTCATTAAGACGATTATAACCGACGAGGATAAAACGTAACATATTAATTGTAATAAAATAATTTTAAATTTATTTATTTTTAAGTATTCTTACAAAATTGACTGATTCTCAATTTGAAATATTTAATGTGTAATATATGAATGCATACACACAGTAGCCTACGAGAGTGTTCGTACAACTTTTAAAATGATTTTGGGGGGCTAGGGGACTACTTATGATTAAAATTTTTTAAAACATTTTTTTACCTGGAATGATGAAAGAAACTAAAAAACTCGTTTTTTAACTTTTTTTAAACTGAGCTTAAAACGAAAATTTAAAGAATGCCTTTCGTAGATCTCGATAATTTATATGCGTGCTGAAGAATTTTTGATTTCATCACAATATTTTTTTAAAAGACTGCTTGAAAAAAGAAACTTAAACTTAAAAATGTTTAATTTACATTATTCATAAGAAAAAATTAAATAATTCTTTTGGAGTACACTATATTTTTGTCAAAAATTGGATTCGTCTTAATCTTAGCTATCACAATACAATGATAAATTTAAAAAACATCGATGATTTTGAAGTCCCGAAAAATATAACATTTAAAAACATATTATTTCCACGACATGTGTCGCTTCGAATCATACAATTCGTTCTTCTATTATTTTTGAATGTCGAAAATTTTAATCAAAACCTTTGAAAAAATTTAAAAGCAACCTTTATGCCAATATGTACGTCTTTTCCAAAAACTGATTTTTCTATTTTAAGTTCAAACTACCATTCCGTGTTCCAAGTGGAGGTCAAGGATACTTTCAAAAAGAGAAAGTTAGCACATTTTTTGTAGAGATTTATCAATTAATCGGTTAAGATATATTTTGAAAATACTGCGATATTTTTACACTTGTTCACTTGAATTATCATACAAAATTTTGTTCATTAGATCATTAGATCATCAACAAAGATTTTGTTCATTAGATCATTGTTACAAAAATTGATCAAACATTATTCCGACATTAGTTAAATGAGTGTCTTAAAAATAATTTATGTAATATACAAGAATTATTATTAAATATTCTGTTATACTTTAAGCGGTAATAAGTTACATACATTTCACATTTTTCTTTTTTATATAAGATATAACCCTAAAAAAATTCACTCAGTACATTAAAATACAGCGTAACGAGGCACGATTTATTCTTGGAAGTTCTGGAAGTTGATATTTAAACTCAAATCGCAGTCAAAATTAAAACTACGTAAAGAATTTGTTCTATGTATCCACATAAAAAGAGACCTCAATGTAAAGTGATTTCCGATTATATATAGTCCATATTGTTTAATTAAAATTTCATAAAATCCTGTTGGATAGTTTTCTTTTTACAGATTTTGTGCCGCTTTTTGATCAAACGGCGTCACTGTGTGACAGGTCTTGGGTCCGTTTGGACCCAGAGTATAAATATTGTTATTTGGGTATCTAGTTGCTGACAATTTATTTAAATGTTCAAATATTTCATTAATGTATCTAGAAGGTATCTTAAATAATATATTTACAAAATTAGTAAATAAAATTATAAATGATTCTAAGTATACTCATTGTCAGTTATATAATAAATATCAATTTATATTCAATAAGAAAGATATGTGTTGAATATTGTGTATAAAAATTAGATATGTCTCACACAAGTTTTCTAAAAATCAGCTTGTGTAACGTGAGTAGATACGTTTCCATGTATATAACTAAATTTTTCAAATTAAATATTGAATTGCATAACACTTTCATACTCGTTTCCTAATAAGGTATACTATATTATATCTGTCTTTTTTTTCATTCAATAAGTATATTATGTAATGTTATATCTTTCTATGAAGCCACTTGGAATCTATTTGACGAGGTTCAAGCCTCGCAAGAGCAATATTTTTCTTACAAATCATACCTCTTTAATTTCTAACTATAATGTATCATTTTCTTGCATGATGCTAAAACTATATTTTTATTATCTTCAAATTAGTTGAAGTAAAAGTACATAAAGACAAATAATGTTCGAATATTTCTATTTCATCGTTTTTTTAGTTATGTATGCTTTTTATTATGGTTAATTTCATTACAATTTTAAATATACTGGTGATAGATTCCATCATTTGTTATGACTAAACTGAATTGTTATGCAAATTTTTCAGACACAGCGTCAACCACTTGTCGTATTTTCTAGTAATAACCTGCTACGTATAAATGTTGTTCCATTCCTTTAAACCAGAATAAATCTCTGCTGTCGTCTTATTTCCAATGCAGATGGGATATTTGAAAGAATTCAATAATCACTAATTCAATGAATGAAAGCCTGCATTCTTGCAGTGAGAGGAATTTTTGACAATTTCTTATACTTGCTACAATAAATCATAAATGTCTTTAAAAGCTTATATTTTTTCAATAACGCAGTGTCCAGAATGGTTAGGATCAAACTTATACTATGTGTTACTGAGGTCAAATAGATGGAAAAAGTTCATATAAACTTATGGCTAAAAATGCTTTATTGAGAAGATATAAGCTTTTAAAGATATTTATGATTTATTGTAGCAGGTATAAGAAATGGTCGAAAATTCTCACTGCAAGACTGCAGGTTTTCATTCGTTGAATTAGTGATTGTTAAACTCTTTAAAATATTCCATCTGCATTGGAAATAATAGTAAATGCATTTTGAGCATATTCCCAAAATTGATCTCCTGTTTCTATCGTATTTTTATAAATCAGTGCTTACATTAATCTTGATCGCTTATATGTTTTAAATAAAACATTTCTGGATATAAGTTTATATGGACATTTTTTATCTATTTGATCTGTGTAATATACATATAGTATGAGTTTGGTTCCAACCTCTCTGGACACAACCATATACATACATTAGTAACTGAAGTGAAGTATCAATTTACAACCTCTGGCAAAAAGTTTCCGATTACATACACTAATATACAATTTATAAAGAATATTCACGTTTTAGAATTATAAAATGTTCTTATATGCAGGTGAGACGAATGGGGAACATAGGTGGGATCTATATAAAGTAAATAAATACACCATAACATAATCTTTCATTTATTATCAAAAAACAAACCGCAGGGAAAACAAAATGTTATATGGAAAAAAGTTTTCGATCAGTACAAATGTTGATAAAAAGTTTCCGATCATTGAGTTATTAATATTTTGTTACATTACCACGTGTTTATATGACACTTTTAATGCGTTGGGCATTGACATTGCTAAGTTTTCACAATCCTTAGACCAAATTTCTTTTCACGACAATTGTATCGCATGTCGAAATTTCTCTTTAGTTTTTGATTTTTTCTCGCGAATCAATGTTTTTAATTTTGCCCACATGACCTCGATTGGGTTCAAATCTGGATTGTCTGCAGGCCACTTCAATATTATAATATGATTTTGCTCTAAATAGTTTTTTACTAATTTCCTGTGGTGACAACTAGTCATCCTTAGAAAATGAAATCTGAATATATTCTACTCAATTCTGTTCACATTCTGGTATACAATGCATAGTTTTCCTACTCCCCTTTCTGTCATACAACTCCATATCATATAAGATTACGTATATTTTTGTTTATAATTCAGGTAATCTTTATTAAATTTTTCGTTAGATCTCCGTTAAACAAATTTTCTTTCATCATCCCCTCCTCCAAGATACTTGTTACTAAATGTTACTTTGCACCAGTCCTCCAAAGTCCAATTTGCGTGTTCCTTACATCAATTTAAGTCTTTTTTTCTTGTGTTCCTTTGTGAGTGAAGGTTTTGTTTTTGCCTTTCGAAATAAAAGAAACCAATTTCATTTAATTGATTTCTGACAGTGTTGCCTCATTTTTGACAATTGCACGCAATTTCCTATCATCTTTTTTACTTTTTGCACGAGGACTTTTCTTTGACTATTACCTCGTTTAAGAAGTTCGATTATACTTAACTTTAAATCATTTTACTACAACTTACACAATGGTATATTGCACATATCCATCTTATTTATTCACTGACTGAAATGTTTTGCATTTCAGATGCCTTTTCACAGGCACGAGTTGTGTATACGTTTGCTTCATCTGCTTGAGACATTCATATTTGAACTATGATCGGAAACTTTTTTCCAACATTTGTATTGATCAGAAACTTTTTTCCATATAACATTTTGTTTTCTTTGTGGTTTCTTTTTGATAATAAAAGAAAAATTGCGTTATTTTGTATTTATTTACTTTATTTATATCCTACCTACGTTCTTTATTTCACTTACCTGCATAAAAGAACATTTTATAACTCTAAAACACGAATATTCTTTGTAAATTTTGTATATGTGTATATGATTGGAAACTTTTTGCCAGGGGTTGTAATGTTTTGATTATTGTGATTCATGTGTGAAAGGTATTTTCAAGTAAACGCATTAATGGCGTTTATTTTGGCAAATAGAATTGGCAAGAAGATCTTTATTATATAATTATAATCACT